AAAATTTACTAATGTATCTAAGTATTAAAATATATTAAACAATAATAGGTATATATATTAAAAATCGTTAGTCACAGTTTTTTTTTATAAGCATTTAAAGTTCAAAAATTGACAAAATATGAAAAAATCACGTAAATTAGCAAATTATTTTGAGTTAAGAATTCGTAAAAATTTTGATTTTGAAATGTAAGATTTGAAAATATAATACAAGATTACTCATAATTTTTTCTACCTTTATCAATAAAAAAATCTCTACCGGATAGTCAAATTAAATTTTTAGGAGAGTTTGAAATTCAAATTTTTACAACATTGGATGTTCACTCGATTTCTCATGTAGCGATTTCCTTATTTTGTTGTTATTCATAAACGAATAACTATAGATACATGAACATTTCACTGAATGTTTATATTAGCATTTCCTATACACCATACAATTTTGAAAATATTTTGACTCTTTTTGAGCTGTTTACGGATATTTTCATTTTTCAATTTTTTTAGTTTTTTTTTCTATGAATATCAATAAAGTTTTATCTGTTGGGCCAAAAAGTGTAAAAATTTAATACAAAGCTCCTGATATATTGTTACAATATCAGATGAAAAATATTGAAAATACATAGGCACAATTTTTTTTTATAAGCATTTAAACATCGAATTTTGACAGAATTTTTCAAAATCTCGAAAATTATTAACCATCGTAATTAATAAATTTTAAAATGTTCAGTTTTTATAGCTAAGGATTGAAAATTTAAAACAAGATTCCACGTAAGTAGTTAATTCTGTTACCGAAAAATCTAAAAAATATACAATCACAGTTTATTTTTATAGTCATTTTATGTTCAAATTTGGACGAAATTACATATTAAAAAACCTAGTTATTTTGTTGTGGTTATATAATATTTATTCGTTGGTACCTACTTGAAACTTCTAAAGTGTACTATTATATATCTATGATAGTATCAGGGTTTGTTATTGATGTTGATGTATAACGTGTTATAAGTACATAATTGATATTGTGATAATGTGATATTATGATTAATTTGGAATTTATTATAGGTCAATTTTTTTTTTTAATACCATAGATATGTATATAATTTGTCTTAAACCTAGACTGACATACCGTCTTCGCTCAGAATCGTTTTTCTTATACAATGATATTGTATCATTGAATTCAAATTTAATAGCATCCATTTTACAGTGACCCACTTGTAACCTACTGTACAGCAGAGCGACATCCACTTTCCCACCTTTTTTTTATATTTTGGTTTCATAAAAACTTTGTATTACATTTTCAAGCCTTAGCTTGACATCTTAATTATATATGCAGGTTAAAAAATGTAAATGTATTTTTTTATATCAAATAACTCTTAAATATAATAATTACCTAAATAAATAGGTAATAAACATTATTAAACCGTCATAAAATGTTTTAGTGTAAAACGTAAGTAATAATAATATATTATATGTAGGTACCTAATAATTTTAATTAAATTATCATAAAACCTTGTAAAATTTCTGGTTGGAATTAAAAAAAAAAAGTTCCTCTATAACATACGATAATTGGTTTTTGATATATAACCGATATCGCTATTTTGTATTACTTAAATCATATTATTTAAATAACATTATCTTGTGATCAAACAGGTGGAAAATCAAAATAAACGAATCTGAATCTGCAAGTAACATTTTCACTTAGAAATAATGATTCACCATCTGTTAAGTTCAATAATCAAACCATTCTAACGGCAAATTAAGTTAAATAACTTGGTCTAACTCTAGATAAACGCCTGGAGCCCAGATATAAAACTTAAGTTCAAAACTGTTAACTCTAAACTTCACCTAATAACACTACTCTTGAAATCTAAACCCTCCCTATCCAATAAACTTACTATATACAAGTCAATAAATCGACCAGTATGGTAATTAGACATACGGTATTCAGTTATAGGGTTTGAAAAGCCATGTAATCCCAAATTGCTTTAGGCACTTCAATCCATCTGCTTACGACTAGTAACATCTACTCCTTGGTAAGTATTTCACAAACAATTATCTTCACAAATACCTAATTATTTCTACCCTTAGGCCTTAATTAATTAGCAAAATTAAATTACTTTAAATTTCATACTAACTCAAACTTTCACAGTAACTCGTTAGTCAATAGTCAAACAACTATTCTCCATCTCACTTCCCGGTAATATAAGTATAGATGACTCAAAAGACACTGACCTAGAGTTCTACTAAGATGAAAAAAAAAAAAACACTTGGTATGCACTGCTGAGTGACTTCCTGCATTTAAATGCTAACCTCCAGTCAGTAATCATTATTTATAAAATTTACTCATAATGCTTACTGTACTGTATAGATTGTAAATATTTTTTTAATAAAATAAAAATATATTTGTGGAATTACGATCAACATTAATAAAAATTAGTATGTATGGTACATAATAAATCTGACAATTAAGCACATGACTTAATAATGGCTCAATTGAAAATATAATAAATACTATTTTTATTTTTTATTATTCAAGAAGTTAATGGTTCTATATTTTTTAAAACTAAGGTCGGTATATTTTACTCGTTATTTCAAAATAAAATCAGATGAACAAATATAGAGTATTTTTGAAAGCAAAATGAAAAAAAAAACAGGTAAGTGGATGTACTCTGCTGTACAGTAGGTTACAAGTGGGTTAATGTATAATGGATTGTATTAAACTTGAATTCAATGATATTATATCATTGTATTTCTAACGATTCTGAGTGGAGACGGTTTGTCAGTCTGGATTTTTTATATTATTATTATTTATTATAACCTGTTAGTTGAACTATATTATAATATTACTAGCTGATCCTGTGCACTTCGTTGCCCGTTAAATGTACCAACTCTATATGACTCAAACTTTGTTCAATTCGTTATTTAAAATTCAGTGTATGGTGTTCAAAATGTATCTTAACTATTCTGTTGCCTGGAATAAAAATTCTGATTCGCAGCAGTATAATAATAATAATACGTATATAATATTTATATATATTCATCAATATTTCTCATATTATTAATGAAACCCGCATTCCGTAATCCGTATAGGTTTGTAAAATTATTATACTTATCGGTACCTAATTTATCTAGAACCGGTACCGAAATTAATTGGAACCAATACTTTTATATTTTTTTATCAAAACATCAGCACCGAACCGGAACAGTTATTCTATTATTGGAGAACTAGTACCGGAACCGATACCAATAAATTCAAAAGGTTCCAGTCCTTACTTATAAGAGGAACATTATATTAAATTTTCAAATCTTAGGTATGAACATTAGACATTCTAGAAACTTTAAGCTAGGTACATAGTAATTACCTAGTAGGTATATTATATAAAAATAAAACTAAAATAAATCAAAGGTGGTCTAATATGTTGGTTACCAATAGGCTACCAAACAATTATTACAATAATTACATTAAGATTTTGGCATTTTCGTTTATCAAGTATTTTTTGATTTTCCCGATTATTTTCAAAAGCACTAAGGATTTTCAATTTTTAACTTCTATAATCTATAACAGCACCAACTAGATCCAATGTTCTACCAGAAACCACCACGGAAGTTGATGATCAAAGCATTTTTTTCTCTTCAGACACAAAAAAAAACTAAAAAACACACATCATGGTTATATAAATATTATACATTTATCGCTCCACTCGGAATCTAAAATTTAAAAATAAAATAAATTAGGTAGGTACCTTGAAAAAAATAATATTAAAACAAATCTAATAATTTAGCAATTTATGAGGTTTGTAATAATAAAAAAAAAACTAATGGTACAATTTTATATGTACAAAATAAATATAGTATTGCGTGTTGGGTTTTAAAATGGTCTATAATTATATACATACATATTATACTTAGAGGTCACCAAGGACGTATATCGTCATATAATATAAGTTTTACTTTATGGCCATTAGCCGGTTACATGCGATACACATCACCCGATGATTTGCCGCAAACGAGCATGAGGTGCAGTCGCTCAAAGTTTGAAAATAGTAAATACCTTGCTACCGAAATTCACCCGAAACGGACAACAATAAATTATTTATCCGTTAGTGTTTTCTTGTCGTTTTAATCCGTAAACGGCACACAGTTTGATTAAAATACACATTTTATTATTGTATTATATTAAATTTTTCTGTATATTATATAAAAATACGATGTACCAGGACCTGTAGGATTTGACAAATTTTATCATTTAAAATTGTATCTAAACACTATCAAATCCTGCCCATATAATCAGTAAAATATTCCACCATGACTTCGTTATGTAATCGAAATTTGAATAGGTACAATATTGTACGCTATAATTATTATTTCAGAACATATTATTTCTGTACCGTTGTGGAAAAAACTGATAGGTAAGTGGCGGCCACTGCATATTTGCATGTGATAAATCTCTTTCGATATGAAGTATTGACAAGTTTGTAAATCTATCATTTGTCATGGTATTTCTAGTCCAATTCTTTATTCGCCTCATAACAGAAAATGAACGTTCACATGAGGCAGATGATATATGTATAGTAAGTGCAGTTTGCAAAAGTTTATAAAAATTTGGAAAAATATTGTTGTCTACAACAGGTATGGTGTCATCTATTTCATAATTTTCTTTATTGATCATATTTTTTAGGACTATCATTTCAGCCTTCAATCTTTCTGGACTTATGTTTAATATTTTCTAGAAAAAAAATTTAAAAAATAAAAAATAAATCTTAATATGCTATACTATACTATCTGTATAGTTTTAAACTTCATAGGTTAGGTACCTCATACTTATTAACAAACTCAATACTTTCTTCATATTTTAATTGTATACAAAAGCACAATACCGCATCTAGTTTAACACTATACTCTAGCCATGGATATGTATTATAGTAATTTGAAGAAAATGAACGGTTTTGCTTTCCATTTAATGTTTTGGAGTAACTCTGTAAATTTAATTTGAAATAGGTACACGTGAATTATTTTATTTCACCAAGTATTTTATTAAATATTTTAGTATTTACATTTAGTATACGTTGAGTCGGTCCTGATTCCAAGTCCCCTAAATCTAACTGAAACGAATCACTTAATGTAGTAATTCCAGAATGCTCAGGTTGAACATTGTTAGGAGCATCCGGTTCTGGTATTGACGAATTATTAATATTTATTGGACTTGGATCATCCACTGCACAGTCTTCGTTATCCCTAGTTGGTGTATTCTTGTCAGTTTTTTTCTTAATATTAAATATACTAAACATTTTGTTTAAAAAAACACAAGAGAAACGAGAAAAATGAAATAAAGATAGTAAAATTAATTTAAAATGTTTGAAATATGCTTTAAGAAAAATAAAAGAGACGTATGTGATTGCAGTACATGAGCAAACAACAAACCACGGTTTTCAGAAAAATACTGAAATAAATAAATATTATGTGTGTGTGTGTTCTAAACAATTATAATACAATAAAATTATGTTATCGGGTTATCGTCATCGGACGACGCGACAATATGCACGACACGACGTATAACTAATACGGCGTTTCCACGTTTGGTCTATAAATAAATGTGTTTATGATAAAAATAAATAGGTATATGTATGTAAGTACAATAGTATTGTCAATAAACATTACACTGCTAATATTATACTATGAAGCCTTGACGAATTTTAGGGAAAATTATAACATTTAAAACTATAATTTCGCCTTTCGGATAAAATGTAAAAAATGATGACCATGGGGATTGAGGGGGCTAAATAAATTTCTGTGGGGGCTGTAGCCCCCACAGCCCCCTGCATACTACGCCCATGGACTAAGTGCAAAAATGAAAAAAGTCGATTTTGAGATTATACATGACAAGAAGAATTCAGTCACAATTTTACTGTGACAAAATATGATGTCTGTAGATTAATAATTATTATATCTGTTGTAACTTGGTAAGCGATAAACTAAAATGATAACAGTATAACTGAAGAAAATACAATTGTGACAGTAGTACGCATGATTAGCCACATCCCACACAGCATAAATAATAATATCTTGTGAATGTTTTGAAGTGGTTGAATAATAAATATTTGACTAATAATGTTTTAACAATATTTTCTTCTTATGATAACAAAATAATGTACTATATGATTGCATCAAAATGTTGACTTAATAGTTTTCTAAAGTTTCCATTAAAATATTTTTTTTAAATATATGATTAAAATATTTTGTAAATGTTTTTTTATAATTACCCCACAATAAAATATTTTCAAATATTTAAACTTCTTGCCCAAATAATATAAATAAAATATTTCTTAATTGTTGACGCAACTTTTTCAATATTTTGACAACTACCTATATTATTTTCCTGAAAATTCATAGATATCATTCATTATTAAATGTATACATATTAAAATATTACCAGGCTATCGTCTATGATCACATGATATTAAATAATTATAAATAACTCGGTTGTTATCTTGGTCATCTGACATCTAGTTCATGAGAAAATAAATATCATATGAATCAAAATAAATTTAAAAAACGTGAACAAGTAGGCATCGCTCTGCTGTACATTTTTAGATGTCAAGCATGTCGTTGTAATGAGTGTGTTATATTTGAATTCAATGATAAATAGTTGCTTACGAAAAACGATTCCCAGCAGAGGCGTTGTGTAATCCTAGCATACTTGTAAAAATAATCATATTTAATAGTGTAAAAAAAAATTAATAAAAATCGAAAATATCTCAAGGATATGATTAATAGCGTATCTTTCCGCCTTCCGGTGTACTTTTTTTTTTATAGAGGTTGAAAAACTTGTTGGGGATCTTCTATTTAAGTTTCTAATGTTAGCTATGAAAATAAAAGCTTTTATGAATTTTTAACTGCAAAATAGCTTGAAAATTTTCGAAATTTTGATGAATTTTGTCAAAATAATTTATAACAATACTAATAATAATAATAATATTTATTGTTACCAAATTAAAATTAAATGTACAAAACATGTTAATATGTTATAAGCATAAATTAATTAATCTTTGATTCTCTTTTCAAAAGCAAAGCTCGTGCAGAAAAGAGAGACTAAGCGATACAAAGTCTTAAGTAATTAAGAAAATGAAAAATAAAATAAATTTATAAAGTTAAAGGTCTTAAGGGTCAAAGTGCTAGTTTTTCAAATTTTCCACAATTCTATAAAATTTGAAAATTAAATTTTATATTTTAGTTACCACCTCAATTATAAGACTTTTCCACGAATCTACTACCCGACACCTATTTTGGGGGTGGGGTAAGAGTGTATTATATCGGAAAAAAATTACTCTCAAGCTTTGTAGAATTGTCGAATTTTGATGACTATATTTTTATCTGAAAGAAGAAGCAGACTGCCTACAGACCTCATCGATCTTTGATTTTGTATATTATTTCAAATAATTGTATTAAAAAATTTGTAAGAAAAATGCTTTTTATCTTATATAAACAGAGCTCGATGCGGGCTGTAGAATATTTCCCTCTAGCGATTAAGAAAAAAAAATATGAAATTTGGTTTAATCTGCAAGGCGGTATCGTTATTCCCGCAGAGTGTATTTTTGATTACAAAATGGCATCGGCACCAGGCGCCTTAAGTTAGGACTCCAGAAACTTTTTTTGCCCAGGGGCGAAAAACCTTCCACCATCACTGGGTTAAATTATAATAAAACTATTAAAATTTTGTAAGTCCAATAGACTTCGTTATATTTACCATTAAACAATAGTCAATACCTACCTAGGTAGGTATAATATATCAAATATGTAATATGCAACGCACAGCATGAATTTATTTTTTATCTCATTTATGTAGACGAGAAATTTAACAATATATTGTACAACGTTAGTTTCCAATTATAGCTCCGGTCGGCTGTCAGGTGTTAGGCAAACTATAATATATTATGACGTGGTACATTATCGTTGTTATTATGGAAATGTGACGTAGGTATTCATTCATAGTAGGTATATAATAGTAGTATTATACTGCACAGCGTTAGGTACTGTGGGTATGGGGAATAATAAGGGCATTCCCTCCTCACCGAGAATTTTTATTCTAAGCTATTCGTTATCAAATTTGATAGGTAAGTGAGTTGTTGCAATTCTCAAAAACCATGTAATCAATGTGTTTTTATAAATACACTAGTAGCGAGTCTCTATATTCTTGATTCGAGCAAGCTAACTTGGAAGTTTAGAGGTTACATTGTAAATAGTTCAAAATATTAAATTTATCTGAAGTAGATTTAGTTTTTCAACATTAAGGAGGTTTGGTCTCACTTATTTAATTTGAATATATTAACATAATATTAAAAAAAAAGATTCAATTTACCATCTTTGGTGCATTTTATGCTTCTGACTAGAAATATTTTAATAAGCTTATTTACTTGTACCTACTTGTAAGTACCACTTTTGTTGATTATCTATGTGCCATATCTATGTGTGAAATATCAATTACCTACCTATATTAATTAGTGGTACTTTGCATTTTTAAATATGGGTTGAAAACTTGATTGAGGTCAAATATAAGAGAAGACCGTCTAATTGCTTAATATTCATACTGGCACTGAGTACCTACATAGGTATACAAGTTGATAAAATAACAGATATTCTATGGAAAGAATTATGGATTTCATATAGGATAATTGATTAAAATTCGGTAGTATCAAAATCACGAACTAAGATATATATATATCTTAGTTCGTGATCAAAATATATTCAAATACTAAATAGTACCTATGTAAAAAAAAAAGTAATTTTAATATACAAATCAAGAAGTATACATTATAGCTGAACTGTATTTGTTTAGTATTTTAAGTTAATATTGTGTTGCTATAGGATAACTATTGGATATTGTTTTTATAATTTCATAGTAAGGTATTTAATACTTTACCCCAGTCCCTCCCTCAAGAATGTTTCCCAAACCTGTCGCTAATGGTATAGCTAATATATTTCAAGTAGGTATATATACCTACTACCTATGTATTATGTACACTTTTATTAAGCCCAAGTCTAAAAAAAAGTCCACACAGAGAGATGGGTAATTTCTAACAAATCGGGTTTGTCACAAGTTTGTAAAGGTATATGTTTACCATGTATCAACCTACTTTTGGATTTAACCACATAAGTATTATTGGATATGAATAATAAATACGATTCATAATTAAATATATATAGTGAGCTCTGGAGTCTCAAAAATGTACTATTTCTCCTCCCCCCTCCCAAAACCAGCCTGCATCGGTGTATTTCATACATCATAATATTATTCTCATTATTATTATTATTATTATTATACCTATTCGTGTTTTTATAATATTTATCAAATAACGGACAATATAGACATTTCAATCAAGAGCACATTCCTCCAGTAAGCTGAGTGCGGTATTAACATTCATGCAATCTTAAAGCATGTAATGTTTATTACCTATATACAAGTAAATCGGTGAGTAGACGAGATAGTGGAATTATTCCAAGAATTTTCAATGACTTTACACCCAGTCGTTACAAACAATTTAATTATGAAGTAAATGTACTTTGTCTTTTCATCTTATGATATCGAAAAAGAAAAGAACGATTTGTAATTTGTAGTCAGTGGCGCATAAAAAAATTTTAAAATTGTAAATTGTTTGTGTAGGTATCTTAAACTAGTCATAACTCGTTTGAAAATTAAAATATAACAAAAATCCTATGAAATGCCCTAGATAATAATCGTATCTTTAAATTGTATAACAAGTAGATTCACTCTAATTTTTAAACCAATGGAGTTAAACGTAAGCGTAAAATTTGCTGTGTGAAAGGCGGAGACAACAATTATTATTAATGTCGGTGCAACGTCCTCCCTAAGGTCTGTGGCAATCGCTGGATCGATTATTTTGTTGAAAATTGTTTTTAGATTTAATATAAGTACTGATGTATATTCTAGGTGCTAGCGATTACGTCGGATCGTCAGCAGTCGCCTTTGATCGATTCTAACTACGATAACAATAATAATAATTACGATGACTGTCGACGACCGTCAGTGCCCTGTGGCATGAAAGGCTCCGTTTGGAGTATACTTTGGAGTTTCTGACAGTTCAGTAATCACTAAACAGTCTGTTCGATTTTGACGTTGTGTTTAATACATAATATACGTGTATTCGGGTTCGGTTAATAGTTTAAAATCTAAATTCAATTTGCCTTGTAGGTACTTGTGCTTAATATAATATTGGGGGTTAATTGTTTACTTGTGCAGCTGTGCGTAAGAAAAGTCGGAAAATTTGTAAAGTTCTCTGAAATATGCTTTAATGTGCAAAATACATTTTTTTTGTACGAATTTTGTACTGTTTAAGTAGTCCACATTTATAATTTTCCACCTCTATTGAGCTGCATAAGATCAGAAAATCCAAACATCTGCTCCCTAATTATTATTATATTAGTGATATATTATAAATATTTAAATATAATGGTTATCTTATTAATAATACCTACGTATTCATATACTATGTCAAATCATGTATAAAGGTTTAAATGTTTTATAATATACTTATTGAAACATAATATTATACATTTATACATAAGTACCATATTTTTGATTTTAATTATCATTTGTTTAGAGTCTAAACTTTAGATAATATACCTAGGTTCAATAGTAGGTACACCACAGAACAGATTAAATCTATTCTGTGGAGTGTGGGTACACTACATATTGTTATTGCTTAACATTCCAATAATTGTAATATTCCATACCTAGTAAATATTACCACTAGCAACGAACAATAGTTTTTACAATAGAGTAGAGGCGATAGGCATAAATGCATAATAAGTTGCCTATATAACCCCTCTTAGAATATTACTGACTCAATAGAACCACCTTAATTAATATTATGTATTTATTTATATTATTTATTACTATTTATTACGATATTATATTTTTAAGTTTTGTAGTTAATATAGTGTTAAGAATAACTAATTATCATGTTTAATATTCTTCGATTATATTAAAAAATTTTTACTCTATTTTAAGTGTACGATAATAATAGTTGTTTAGGCCTTTTTACATAATATATAATATATATTAGTCTATTTTGTAAGCAATCATGGACATAAGACCAAGTTAGTTTTTCCAACTATGCTGTTGACGCTGGGAGATTCAAAAACTGCTCTGCCATATTTGCTAAAGTGTTGATACTTATTTTTAGCCAAAAACCAAAAAAATTCAGAAGTTAAACATATTGCTACTCAAAAATAATTCCAAGAATAACAGTATTTTCATTATATTCAACTATTTATGTAAACATACCAAACTATTCAATTATTTCAATCCGTTAAAACTTAATATTAACATAATAAATTCTTATACAATAATGTACTTTGTAATCTGCTTTTTCACTGTTATAATTGCTAAATATTAATCCCTGATAATTAAACACTTGTTAATAAAATCATAAAATGAATTAATTCTTTTACCAGGTAAGTAATTATTAACTTAAAGAGGTATATTCAATTTTCAAAACTGATTTTAATTGACTAGCAACGGTACTGGGTTCCTATAGAGGTCTCAGAAGTCAGTATATTATTGGTAATAATACAAAAAAACCTAATAAGTAAATAACTTTATTGAATTTTGCCAATATCAAAAGTGGGCAAATTGGATAGTTAATATAGTTAATAGTTAATACACAATATATTCAACATTAAAACTATAGTTATAAGAAAATGTTTAACTTAGTTAAAAATATGTTAATTATTAATGTTAAATTACCACCTAGGCAGGTCTGTAAGTGGTTACAGATATATAAAAATAAGTGACTAAGTGACTGAATTTAAACATAAAAGTAACATATAATTTAATAGATTCTAACTTACTTATTTTAGTATATTATATTTTTGTTAATTTTTTTTCATGCAATAATATTTTGTACTTGTATAAAGTAATTTGAATTTTGAAACTTAATATTTTTTAAATGTTCACCTTACATTGCGACTACCCCCAAGTTGAGCAATAAGTATATTATATCATATTCGTATAAAGCATAATATACGCAAACTACACGGCAGTATACCTAAATCATGTGGTAATTATTGGACCCCCTCCCCCAGAAATAATTGAAAACACGCCACGCGCTGCGTACAACCTATATAATATATTATTATATATATATATATATATATTTAAAATGAGTTAAAAGAATATGACGTATAGAATATTAGAATATATATTATATAGTATAATACATCAATAATATTTATTTGGATGTAAGTAGAAGACCCAGATAATAATAAAATAAAATTTATATTTTTTAATATTATCTTATTACGTGTGTTATCTCTTGATGACTATACTTATTTGGTACCAATTAATATATTCAGCCCCAAAAAAACCGAAAATCAGCTCTGCAGTATAGCAAGAGTTTAACATAAGTAAAATAAATATTTTTTTTTTTTTTAATATTGATAAGAATAAGTTATTGTATTAAATATTATGTTTGTCCGAGGATAATCAGGCTCTGTTATTAATTAAGTAACATTATGATTTCTTTTTTTTTCAGTTATTATAGAATATTAGATACAGTTTCAAATGGCCAAACAGAGATAGTTAGTTTGCTGTACTGGCCAGAAACCTTTATTACAATAAAGCTAAGCCAAGTGTTATATAATAAATTGTAGGGCAGAGGACTAAGCTCTAAATAGCACAAAGTATGCAAGCACTTTAACACTTAGAAACCATCAAACGGGCACTATACTTTTTTTTTATAGCAGCTTAAATAATAAATATAAAAAATAAATATATTGTAGTAAAAACTATGTTAAATAAGACACCGACAATAATATCTAAATTGGTTCAATTTCACACTAAAATACTCAAGCCACAGCGGAAGTCACAAAAAAAAACCAAATTGTATAGAAACTAATTTTTGTTTTGATAAATGTTATTTAAAAGAAAATGTGAAAAATAGGCAAAAACAAAAATTGCCACTAAAAGACAAAAATTAATGAATAATCTGTAAAAATATAAAACATAAAATTACAAATTTGGTTTTGTTGGAACATAAAACACATTTGTTTTTACTTGCCCTTATTTTAAGATTGCTCTAAACAAATATGCAAATCAGTGGCGTGGCGTGGGTATTAAAAAGATGTAAGCAGTGATATTTTTTTTTCAAAAGTGATTAGAATATAGGTACTATACCTAAATACCGGCCTAATTATAAATTATGTATAAAAAAATGTAATAGAGAAAATAAAGAAATTGAAGTATAAATACTTCAAAAGTCTATTAGGCGAATGACAGTGACAGTGTACGTAAAAACGACTACAGTCTACAATAGTACAATGCGTCGGACTATGTACGGCCGTATGGGTCGCTCCTTCTTTCTCGAGTAAGCAAAATCAAATGTGCTTACAAACGCTAGTTAAATACGTGACCCCCACTATGACATTATAGACTATTTGAAAACAACAGCTGCCCGTAAGCAATTTCAGAATGTGTTACACTGTATATCGTATTATGATTATGCAGTTAACATAATACAGAATGGATTAAAAATAGACCTACAATCGATGATTTTCTTAAAATAGTTGGTAATCAGTAGACAGCGTACGACACAAATAAACAATAACAAAAACCACTACCAGCTATAACTTAAATATTTTATAAATAAAATTAAAATTTTAAAAATCATTTATTATGTACCTATATTAGTCGTGATTGATCAAATTTATTTTTTCTTTCATTTAAAGTGTAAGCAGTGCTTACAGTGCTTACATGCACGCTACGCCCCTGATGCAAATAGTAGAAGTCCTCTGCTCTAAATATATGTTGGTATAATGATTAGAACATCATTATAAATATTAAATACTATATCATTCAATACTTAAGGAAGGAATTATTAAATATTTTAAATAATTAATCTATTAATAGTATGACAGTTATAGTTTTAATGAAATTAATATAGGTCAAAATCAATAATAATAATATAACATAACAATTAAGTTTCTTCTACTTTTACTTTTTTTTGTTTCTTAGTTTTTTTAGTTTGTAGGCCACATGACTTGTTTGCTTTTTCCAGTTTCTGCCTTCTTTCTCTTCTTTTTGCATTTTTACTTTTTACTAATGGTGTACTTACAGTATTTTTGTTTTTTATAATTTGAGATTTATTTTCTAAGTTTTTATCAGTATTAGTAATACTTGATTTTTTAACTTTTTTAACCTTCTTGTCAACAATTTCACTATGCTCAAAAACTTTTTCCTCTTTTACGACTTCATTATGTTTCCTTTTTTTGTTTTTTTTAATTTGAGATTTATTCTCTACATTTTTATCAGTATTACTAATAATTGGTTTTTTATCTATTTTAACCTTCTTGTCAACAATTTCATTATGCTCAAAAACTTTTTCCTCTTTTACGACTTCATTATGTTTCCTTTTTTTGTTTTTTTTAATTTGAGATGTATTCTCTACATTTTTATCAGTATTACTAATAATTGGTTTTTTATCTATTTTAACCTTCTTGTCAACAATTTCATTATGTTCAAAAACTTTTTCCTTTTTTTCTTCAACAACTTCTTCCTCTTCATCAACTTCAATATCTTCAACAACTCTTTCATCTTTGACATCTTCAATATCTTCAATATATTCTTCCTCTTCAGCAACTTCATTATCTTCAATATTTTCTTCTTCGGCAACTTCATTATCTTCTAAATCCCGACGAACAAATACGGAAATGAAAAATCCATTAGTGCAATCAACACTTGGAACAGCATTAAGACACATTTCCGAACAATCATAACCAGGAGCTCCTTTGTTAGTCCAGCCTTTCACCATTTTAGTACAATCTAAAAGCTTAAATTTTCCATTAATAGATAAGGCTTCATCGACAACAGCTTCATTTTCTTCATGATTTGCAGAGCAAGTAGAATAAACCAATCGTTCTAAATTAGGATAACTTTTTAATGCATGGTTTAATAACTGAGCATGAACATTTGCTAATTTTTTCAATCTTATTTGAAAATTTTGATTTTGCCCTGATGAATCATTTCGAACTCTATCAACAATACCTGAAAAATCATAATGAAATATTTAAGATTTAATAAAATCCATAATTCAATAATCAAGATATTTATAAAACAAAAATTAAATAAAAAATATAGAAGTAATTATTACAAACAAATAGTATTTACCAGAACCAGAACATGATGGGTCCAACAATATATATTTGACATCATCAAAATAAGGAAAGGTTAATGCATCCATATTGAATGTTTCCACATTTTGTACACCATATTTTTCCAACATATTTTGCATTATATAGAATCTTTCCTTAGAGCGATCAACAGCATACAGTTTACTGTAAAATATTATTATATATGTATTGGACATGGGTAAAAAAAAAATATAGAACTAAATTATTGTTCCTAAGCAAAATATAAAAATTATTTTTGAATTGCTTTTATTAGAATGATTTAAAAATAATAAATGATGGATTAATAACTAATAATTATATACAACATTGAACATAGTATTAATAAGTGTCCATGCTAAATAATTTTTTTTTTCAATTGCCAACTCAAAACAAATTAAGGGAAACTTTACAAAACTTGAAATGTGTGGTGATAGTAGTTACAGAAGAGAGTACAAAAATAGAAAAATAATATTAACTTAATATCTGACAGATACATTTTTTTTCAAAATTAACTTTATTTAAATAACTGCCAACTGGATGATAAAAATATGTAAGTTCAGCAATGGTTTATAATATAATAAAATAAAACTTGTGATTTTTCCAACAGAAATAATACAATTTACTATTTATATGTAATAATATGTTCTACAATGTGTATGAAATGAACAAACTCACCCCGTATTTTGCATAATAGCAGCTAAATGAGATGTCTTCATACCAGGAGCGGCACACATATCTAACACAGTACTATTTAGTTCTGGATTTAATAGGTAAGCAGCCAAACAACTTGCCTGTAAACAACAATTCTTATTAAACAGCTAATACATCTTAAAATATAGGGCAATATAAACAATAAAACAATTTGAAATTGATTGGTATATGTTTAAATACACATTACACGCATGCGGAACAGCATTTTTCTCACCATCAAGTTTCATAATAGGTTGATTCACTCTAATGTTTAAACTAACGGAGCTAAACGTGATCTTCTGAGCGTACATATATTATGTTACACACGAGGTTATACACTTGTAAGACAAAGACAACACATACGGGTGTCGTGGTGTGACGTCCTTTTAAAAATAAAAATATCAAAAGAAACCAACGAGAGAACACAGATAATATTCATACATTTAAGTTTAATAATAGGTAATTTCACTATAGAAAAATTTAAACCAACAACACAAAATTGGAACTGCTGGGAGTAGATTGATAACCCATCAGGATACGACGTCCTCTTAATCTTTAGTCATAAATAACTTGAATATTATAATATACTCAGTTCCACGAGAGAACATACATACAACATTCTTTTAAATAAAAAAAGAAAGTATTTAAAAATGTTGGTACTTCCGAGTTATCTTGGGTACTGAAATATTTCCATGACCTGTTATAATCATCCGGGTTATCTCAACTACCGCAATTTATTAAATAAAAAATTACATATTTAATGTTGACATTTAATTGACATTTAGTTATTACATTTATTAGATAGTAAAAAAAACGGATAAAAATAATTTTTAAATTTTAAAGAAAAATTAAATAATTAAAATCAAAAAATGTATGGATGAAAGTAAATTGGAAGAAATCTAGATGATGGCATGGATACAGTTCTTTAACATAAATATGTTTTTTTGTCTAGATAACTGTTTTTTGTGTCTGACCGATTTATCATAATGTTTTTGTTGTCTTGGTTACTTAATAACAAAAACATAGTTGTAATTCATGGATTTTCCTTGTAGGGAAAAACATCGAGTAGCGTTCCATCGTTCCATGGTTTTTTTATCATACATTTCCTAATTTTAAATATCATTATAAGTTTGTTGAGGGTTTTAACAACTAAATTCAAATTATTTACAAATTAGTAGCTGAAAATAATTATTAATTGCAATTAATTAATTTATTTATTAATTTGAAACTTGTATGTTGTTATACATTATTATTTATTAACTAACTAATAATATATTCTAATTTAAAATAACTATCAAATTGTTTTAATTAACCTTTTCACTACTACACTATTTATCTACTGCAACCGGTGTATGCTACGTAAAATAACATATTTATTGTTTGTTTTTTTTTTTTAATTTTAATTTTGAGATCTATTTTATCTTATTATTTAAGTTTAATATAATGAGAACCATGGTTTCCAAAACTTCTACGGTTACCGGAAAATGAGAATATTATAAAATACAGGGACGTAATAGTATGTCTGGATTAGTGAATAGTGTAAATGTTTTGGACGTAATGGTACGTCTGAAGCAGTGAAATGGTTTGGATAGATTTTAATTTAAGTTAAAATCATATAAATGTTTTTTTTGGAAATTTAAAAAAATTGTTTGTTTTATTCATACACGCAACGGCTACATCTTAAAATGTTAAAAGATGGAATTTTGGTGGTAATAATTTATTGTTACAATTCTAAATATTTTAAATTGAGTCTGGTAATAGTATATAAAATGTACTCAAAAACTTATTGATTGAGTCTTAAAATTGTATATTTAATACTTGAAAAATGTTTTTTACTACCAACACTCAAATAATTTACAACACTGTTAATCTCAATAACTAAAGGATACCTCTTGATATAGCTATTAGATTTAACTATTTTAATAGGAAAAAGTTAAGTACAGTAGATGCTCTAATTATTTCACATTTTAAATAATGTTTTAATTTTTACATTCATATAAGTATTATTATTTAAAAACATAAAGTTTACCTTATCTTGTACAATTAAAGATCCATTATTGTACTCTTCAATTTCATAAAACTTCACTTTTGAATTAAAAATTAACAATTCTTTAATGTGAATATCTTGAACAAAAACGTTTCTTCCTTTGAACTTGTCAGATTTGATTAATTCCAAAAATTGAGCATACGATTTTGGCGTTTTTAATTTAATAAATTTGAGTTCTGATAATTTTTCCAATATTTTTTCTATCGTAGTTAATAATGTGTTAACACGGAAAAACCTAGGTTTCAAAACTGAAAAACATAATTCTATTAAATGTTTAAAAAATTATTATGTACATTGCACAGACATTAAGAAGAAAAATTTAGTTTTTAAGAAGACACCATACCTATGTGATATATCCGTCCTAAAAATGTATAACATAGCAAAATTTCATTCAGTAAAACCAACTATGTGTTGTTAAACTTAATAGTTAACTACCTACTATTAAAATTAAATGTTAAAGTATTATCAATAGCATCTCATCGGATGTTTTGACATTTTATTTTTTAAGTGAGTATACGAATTTTAAAATTGTAAAATTTAAAATTGTTATAGATAACTCATTTAAAAATTAAAATATCAATAAGTACCTGAAGATGACCAAAATAATAGATAACTATATGAACTCACTTTGGGCATGGAGTCCTCTTAAAATACTAAAGTTAAAAAATAAAAATAAATAATTGACATTTTAACTCTATAAACTATTAAATATTATTTATTTATAGCTAGGAAAATGTAATAAATAATGATATATATATATTTTAATGTACCTTTAGTATCCGTGGAAGTAGTTAGTTTTTCTAAATCATTTTCTTTCATAAGTTGTAAAAATTCATCCTTATATTTTTTTACTGCTAAAATATTTTTAGCAGTGCCTTTTAATCCAAATTTTGACCACATCATTTCAGTGATAAGTACATACACTAAATCACGGTCCATATTATTTTCTTTTTCCAATAAATTACTTTTTTCTACTAACACATCTATCACATTTTCCCATTTAAAAACATTCATCAGTACAGCATTCAACGTTAATTTATTCTGGAAAAAAAAAATATATTGTTATAATATGTATAAGCATAAGAGGAAAAAATAAAAAAAAGGTGGGCAAGTGGGTGTCGCTCTGCTGTACAGTAGGTTACAAGTGGGTCACTGTATAATGGATGATATTAAAATTGAATTCAATGATATAATATCATTGTATAAGAAAAACGATTCTGAGCGGAGACGGTATGTCAGTTTAGGTATAAGATATATTATATAAAAACTATGGTATTTAACAAAAAATTGACCTATAACAGGTACCTATAATAAATTCCAAATTAATCATATCACAATATCCATTAGGTACGTTTATAACACGTTATACATCAACAAAAACCGTGATAGTATCATAGATATATAATAGTACACTTTAGAAGTTTCAAGTACCCACGAATAGTATTATTCAATCACAACAAAATAACTAAAATTGTTATTCTAGGTTTTTTAATATGTAATTTCGTCCAAATTTGAATTTAAAATGTCTGTAAAAAATAACTGTGTTCATATATTTTTTAGATTTTTTGGTTACAGTATGAACTATTTATGAGAACCTTTGTTTTAAAATTGTAATCCTTAGCTATAAAAACTGAACATTTTATAATTTATTAATTACAATGATTGATAATTTTCGAGATTTTGATACATTTTGTCAAAATTCCAACTTTAAATGGTTATAAAAAAAAATTGTCCCTATGTATTTTCAATATTTTTGAACTGATATTGTAACAATATATCAGGAGTCTTGTATTACATTTTTACACTTTTTGGCCCAACAGATAAAACTTTATTGATATTTATAGAAAAAAAAACTAAAAAAATTGAAAACTTAAAATTTCCTTAAACAGCTCAAAAAGAGTCAAAATATTTTCAAACTATTAAGCTAATTTAAACAATCAGTGAAATTTTCATGTATCTACAGTTATTCGTTTTTGAATTACAACAAAATAAGGAAACCGCTACATGAGAAATCGAATGAATATCCAATGTTCTAAAAATTTGAATTTCAAACGCTCATAAAAATTTAATTTGACTTTCTTATAGACATTTTTTTTTTTTTGATAAAGGTAGATAATCTTTTAAGGAATCTTGTATTACATTTTCAAATCTTAGATTTAAAATGAAAAAATTTTACGAATTCTTAACTCAAAATAATTTGCTAATTTTTGTGATTTTTCCATATTTTGTCAATTTTTGAACTTTAAATGCTTATAAAAAAAAATTGTGACTAAGGATTTTTAATATTTTTTATCTGCCTTTGAAACAGTATACTAGGAGCCTTCTATTAAATTTTCAAGCTTTCGCAACCAACAAATAAAATTGTATTGATATTAGAAAAATGATACTAGAAAAAAAACTAAAAAAAAATGGAAAATGAAAATGTCCCTAAACAGTTCAAAATAAATCAAAATATTTTGAAAATGTTATCGTGTATAGAAAATGCAAATATAAACAACTAGTGAAAATTTCATGTATATACATTCATTTGTTTTAGAGTTACACCAAAAACCAAAATCTATTTTTTGGAAAACCGATTTTGCGTAAAAATTTCCGTTTTTCCTTAATTTTTATGTTGTTTTTTCCGGAGCTTGTGAAAACTACTGGGAAAATGTTACTTTTGATTCTCCAAAGTACCAACTAGATTCACTTTCCTATCAGAAAAGATACTGTTGAAGAAAATCCAAGCATTTTTACTGTCCTAAAACGTGATGACAGACATAAAAAAATAAAAACAGATAAAAAAAATAAAAAAAAAACACATCATTGTAAAATCAATACATTCATCGTTTCACTCAGAATCTAAAATAATTGAAAATATCGATCACCGAATTAAAAACAAAACTTCAATATCCCCAGATCTACAAAGTTATATTTGTGGGTAGACCGCATATATTGAAATGCATTTTTATCCTTTAAAGAATACTAGAGACCGATCAGTTGACAGGATTAGGATATTCACTTTACATACGTATAATAGTGTGGATTACGCATTATTTTAAATGTACCGTACAAGTTACCAGGATATTGTAAACTAAATCGTATATAATATTATCTCAAGAACATTAAAATAAGGCTAGATCAACGTTAATAATAAACGTTTAGAAATTAAAATAAATACCTACATAGGTAAAAACATTTCAATAATTCAAATATATTTAAATGAATTTCTGTTCATAATTTATATTAAATGAGTAACAATGGTAAGCAATATAACTGTATACCTAATCTCGTACATTATCTATTAGAATTTTCTAGATACCTAGTACATTGGAGTGATCCAGTTTAATATTAATTTGCTTTCCTAAATTAATTTTTAAGTCAATAAGTTCTTACTGGATACTGTGCTTGATAAAGCTGAGTTTTATAACTGCTTCCGGTTTTGACTTTTTTCAATATTTTTGCAGCAATTTTATATAGTCCAGTGGTTTTATCTTGGTTTTTGTTCATGGTTTCGACGGGTTTTTCAGTAACCATCTATAAACACAATTACAATAAGTTTTAATAAAGATTTTAATTCGTAGGTACCTACTTCATTCGAATGCCTAATACTTACCTTAAAAAATTGAGACTGTAAGCGACAGTACACGATACGACAATCGATCAAGTATATGACAATTCGTTCAAGCTGTTGAATTCAATATCACATTGAATGCTCAAGACGACGAAGACGATACAAAACAATAATACAAATCGAACACAAAACAAACGCAGCACAAGAAAAATGTGTACTGTGCACGTGCTTTTACTCGATATCTACTTGCAATATTATTGTTATCTCTATGTTTATATATTCACTGTTTACACTGTTCGTTAACAGCTCTTATCATAGTCCGAATTTGGGAAACACAAAATAAATGTAAAAATATAATATATTAATATAATATTTGTCGTGATCTTCTCTATATTCCGGCCCACTAGCGTCCATTCCATCTGTAAAAACGCGTCCGTCAAACAAGCGTCGTTGACATACGGAATGCCAGCAGTAAACACATTATAGAAATTCGACTAATTCGTTTTGTACGAGTTTTTTTTTTATTTAGTATGAACTATGGAAAATCATAAAATACCCGCGAAACGAAATCGTTGTGGAAAGGTAAGCATTTCAATATATATTTATATTTTATTTGCCAAGAGTCACTAATGGGTGGCTGCTTAAGAGCTCGCGTGTGTTGTCTCCGTCTTACAACTGCATAACATAGCAAATTTTACGCTAAGCAAAACACGTATAGCTCCGTCAATTAAAAATTTGAGTAAATTGACCTCTTATAAAATCTAAAGTTAAGATTATTATCTAGACAACCTCGTGGGCTTTTTATTATATTTTAATTTTAAAGCGAGTTATGAGTACTTTAAAATGTACAAACAATTTACAGTTTTAAAATACTCATAACTCGCTTTAAAATTAAAATATAATGAAAAGCCCATAAAAGTTGTCTAGATAATAATCTTACCTTTAGATTTTATAAGATTTCAATGTACTCTAATGTTTAAGCTAATGGAGCTAAGTAGGTACATATTATTATGTTCTGCTTTGCAGTTTGCGTATGATTTTCTATATTACGCACTTGTAAGACGGAGACAACACATGCGGGTATCACGTCTTCTTAATCACACCTTTCATGGTATTTATTATTTTTAATTTTTTTTATTTTTTCATATAAAGTATAAACAATAAACATCAAAATATTTTATTTAAATATAAAATGTATTAGTTGCACCTTGCATCCAGTGATTATTTACATGTCCTACGTATTTTTTGAATTATTAAAATTATTATTAGAGCCCGGATTTATATGCATTTAAAAAGTGTCAAATATGATGCAAATATGCAAAGAAAAAGTGGCTAAATATGCAATTATATGCATTATGTTACACTTTATAAAATGTGTTTTTTTTTTAAAAAAAAACCACACTACTACACCAAAGAAAATTCTAAAAATGTTAACAAAAACAAAAAAAAATGATTATATCCACTGCTCTGTATTTCAAATCATTTAAATCAATCGAAAACATTTAGGAAACTTAAAAAAGAGAATACAAATAAAAAAACAACTAAAATCATACATAAATATTTTAGATCATTTAACGTTACTCTTAAAAAACTAATGGAGAACTTAAAAAAAAAATACAAATCTTTTAATATAACATTTTTGAAAATTTAAATATTTTAAACATTTTACATTAATAATATTATAAATTTTAAAACTTGTCAGAACAACACTAAAAATTAAAATATTATAATAGGTTCTTTTTAATAATTTTCATAACAGTGAACAATAATATATTTTTCCATGTTTTCTGATGTCATGGAAGTTCTTTTTTCAGTTAGAATTGACTTATACGTACTAAAAGACCTTTCTACATCCACCGAAGTTATCGGTGCAAACTTCATACATGAACACATAGAAGGAGTTAAATTAGATGGCATAATACTGTTTTCTTTACCTGACAAAATTGTTGTTATCTGCTTCGCGGTTTGGAATCCAACATTTTTTTCAATTAAATATAACAATTTTTCTTGAATTATTTTTCCCTGTTGTCCTGGTACTTTTTCCATCGCCATTATTAGCGACTTTATTCGGGACGCGAGTGTGTACGTAGTACGTACTACGTATGTTTGTTAATACCTATCATATCTATTCATGCTCCGATCTCATACAGTGAGGTAATTCCAAAATTTATTGTAAAATATAATTATTTATTTATTAAAAACCTATTAAATATGCATGTCATATGCATTTATGAACAAATATGCAAAAACCCTCGAAATATGCAAAATATGCAATATAAAATTTGGTGTTAAAAATCGGTGTGGTATGAAACGTGGACATTTTAAACCCCCATAGACGTGCATACACTTAGTACGAACATGCAAATGCATATAAATCCGGGCTCTAATTATTATTATTATTTATGGTAATCAGAGAAAAAAGCCCCGTCATCACGTTTTGGGACAGTAAAAGTGCTTCGATTTTCTTCAATAGTACCTTTTCTGATAGGAAAGTGAATCTAGTTGGTACTTTGGGGGGTCAATAGTAAACATTTTCCAGTAGTCTTCACAAGCGCCGGGAAAAACAACATAAAAATTAAGGAAAAACGGGAATTTTTACGCAAAATCGATTTTCCAAAAAATCGAATTTGGTTTTTGGTGTAACTTTAAAACAAATGACCGTAGATACATGAAATTTTCACTGGTTGTTTATATTTGAATTTTCTATACACGATAACATTTTCAAAATATTTTGATTTATTTTGAACTGTTTAGGGACATTTTCATTTTTCTTTTTTTTTTTCAGTTTTTTTTCTAGAAATATCAATAAAATTTTATTTGTTGGTTGCGAAAGCTTGAAAATTTAATAGAAGGCTCCTAATTATTGTTTCAAAGGCAGATGAAAAATATTAAAAATCCTTAGTAACAATTTTTTTTTATAAGCATTTAAAGTTCAAAAATTGACAAAATATGGAAAAATCACGAAAATTAGCAAATTATTTTGAGTTAAGAATTCGTAAAAATTTTTCCTTTTAAATCTAAGATTTGAAAATGTAATACAAGATTACTCATAAGTTTGTCTACCTTTATCAATAAAAAAATCTCTACCGGACAGTCAAATTAAATTTTTATGCGCGTTTAAAATTCAAATTTTTACAACATTGGATGTTCACTCGATTTCTCATGTAGCGATTTCCTTATTTTGTTGTAATTCATAAACGAATAACTATAGATATATGAAAACTGAATGTTTATATTAGCATTTCCTATACACCATACAATTTTGAAAATATTTTGACACTTTTTGAGCTGTTTAAGGACATTTTCAGTTTTCAATTTTTTTAGTTTTTTTTTTTATAATTGTCAATAAAATTTTATTTGGTGGGCCAAAAAGTCTGAAAATTTAATACAAGCTTTCTTATATATTGTTACAATATCAGTTGAAAAATTTTAAAAATACATAGGCACGATTTTTTTTTATAAGCATTTAAAGTTGGAATTTCGACAAAATTTATCAAAATCTCGAAAATAATCAATCGTTGGAATTAAAAAATTATAAAATGTTCAGTTTTTATAACTAAGAGTTGAAAATTTAAAACAAAGATTCTCTTAAATAATTCATACTGTAACCAAACAATCTAAAAAATATATAAACACACTTATTTTTTACAAACATTTTAATTTCAAGTTTAGACAAAATTTCATATTTAAACCAAGAATTACGATTTTAGTTATTTTGTTGTGGTTGTTTAATATTATTCGTGGGTACTTGAAATTTCTAAAGTAATCTTCTATATATATCTATGATAGTATCAGGGTTTGTTGTTGGTGTATAACGCGTTATAAGTACCTAATGGATATTGTGATATGATTAATTTGGAATTCATTATAGGTCAATTTTTTTTAATACCATAGATAGGTATATAATATTTCTTATACCTAGAAGGACATACCGTCTCCGCTCAGAATCGTTTTTCTTATACAATGATATTATATCATTGAATTCAAATTTAATACCATCCATTATACAATGACCCACTTGTAACCTACTGTACAGCAGAGCGACACCCACTTGCCCACCTTTTTTTAATTACCTTTTAATAAAATAGATGTATTACCAAGTATAATAAATTACATGCATAATAATATATAATAAAACAATTTAAAATAAAATGACATAACAGGATATACAAATTATTAAACTAGTTTTTTTATAATATTATGTTAATTATGGTTATAGATATGTTAAAGAAGTGTTACATAGATAAATGTAGTGATTATATTATGATTATATTTAATTATGTAAATCATGATGAAATGAATAATTTATTTAGTTGGTAGGTACGGGGCATTTTTGTCCAATAAATGTTATTAGGGGCTTTTATTAAATGTATATATATATTAAAACTTGTTTTTTTTTGTAATTACTTAGGTTGTTCATACCAGCCAGAAACAAACTATTATAGATCGATACAGTGATATCCTCAGCACAGATCCCGATATTAAGTATGAGAATTTAGTGACAAAATTGTCTGCAGCATGTGGTATTGGAATACTAACAGTCAAAAACACTATCAGTGAATACAAACGTACTGGCAAAGTATCATCGCCATTGAACAATAAGAAAAGACGTACTGTAATAGATAAAGTTGACGAATATGACATAAGTGCAATTCGTCAAAAAATCCATGAATTTTGGTTCAGACGAGAAATTCCAACATTAGCAAAAATTATACGAGTAGTAAACGATGATCCGGATCTTCCAAATATAACACGTTCGTCATTCCAAAGATTGTTAAAGAGCATGCAATTTGAGTACACAAAAAGGGACAAGAACATTGCTCTTACCGAAAGAGAGGATCTTGTTACTTGGCGGCGCAATTATATTTCTGACATTCGACGTTATCGACAGGAAGGCCGAACAATTTATTTTTTGGATGAAACAATGCTGTGGTTCAATACTGGAGATTGTTTGTCAAGAGTGTGCCTTGAACAAACAATGGTCAACACAGGGACTACAGGGTCACGTAATCCAACAAGCAAAGGCAATTGGCTCACTCTTGGTCATATCGGGTCGGCTGAGGGTTTCGTCGCAGGTGGTCTTTTGTGTTTTGAATCCAAAAAAAACACATTTGACCATCACAATGAAATGGACGGAAATACATTTTTCAAATGGTTCTGTGGCGTATTACCTTTATTGAAAGATAACTCGGTAATAGTCATGGATAATTCACAGTACCATTCGGTGAAAACAGAACAAACACCTACCTCTTCTTGGAAAAAGGCTGCCATAATTGAATGGCTTGAATCCAAAGGCGTAAAGACCAACCCGTCCATGATTAAATTTGATTTGTTAAAAATTGTTCGAGAGATAAGACACAAATATGATTTGTATGTGGTTGATGAAGAGGCCAAAAAGCAAAACAAAATTGTTCTACGTATACCTCCATACCACTACGAACTCAATCCTATTGAGTTGGCTTGGTTAGTAGTAAAAGAACATGTGAAGGTAAATAACAGAACATCTAAGATAAATGACGTTCGGCAATTATTAAACGATGGTATACAAAAAGTGACACCTGAAATGTGGTCCAATTTTGTTTCACGCACTATAAAAAAAGAGGAAAGATGTTTGCGGGTAGACTATATTTCTGATGAGATGTTGGACGAAGAACCGAAATCGCACGTGTTATCGATTACTGGATTGACGACTTCTGATTCAGAAAACAGCGATTGACAATTTTTTTTAAAAATATTATTATATCTTTGTAAATAATCATGTTCAATAATAAGCGTAATAATGTAGGCTTAAAAATACTTAATGTAATGGATCACTAGAGTTAACATCTGTTGACTATTCATATTTCATTCATAATAGTAACTAACAATCATTGTATTTTATCAACAATTTTGAGTGAATTTGGATTTTGTTCACAATCTATAATAAAATTTAGCCCCATTTTTCATACAAAAAAAACATACAGGTAAATCAATAAATAACAAAATTATAATATATGGTTTTGAAATATCTTATCAAATATTAACTGAATTATTTTAAAATTTCAGCTTAGAAACAAGTTTTTTACAAAATATAAAGTTTTTTTAAATTCTCTATTGAAGAATACAACCATTGTTTTTGCCATTACAAACATATTAACACATTTGTTGCGTTTGTCGGCTATATCCGTCGGACCGGTTTTTTCACCGTGCGTCTGTCGGATATAGCCGACATAAGGTCCTTTGAATTAAATGTGCTATAAAATAGAGACGCACTAGAGTAATGTTTTTTTTTTTACACACGCCTCTGCTCAGAAATTTCTTGTTATTTCAGTCCAATCCATTCATAAATAACTTATTTTGTTGATTTTTCCGACACTAATTGAAATATCGGAATTGGTGGCACGCTCCTAGCGAACATCGATACATTTTGTGATGCATCTAACGTGTCCCAACTAATTATTTGACGCAGTGAATGTGTTAAGATAATTTCTATTTAACAATTTTGGGCCCGGGCTAACAATTAATATACTTATATTTGCTATTTTTCATATTAAATCTATACATTTATTACTATTTACTGAAAGAACTGTTTTGTTTTTTCAAAAACTTATATGAGTTTATAATAAAAGTTATTTAGTGAGAAAGTATTTTTCAACAATAATCCATTTTATGTCATAGAATAAAACTTATCATTTACTTACAAAATATTAATGAAAATAACAAGGAAGTACACCGACAATGACTGCTGATGAATTCAAGAAATATCATCATACCATACAGAATTAAATAGAAGTAGGCAAATTAAATTATAACCATTCAGTGATAAAAAAAACATGTATTTAAAAAAGTGAAAAATTACATAATAAAAACAAAAAATAACCAAACAACATATTTTCAAGTAAAAAATAAAAAAAAATGTCTTAACGTGCAATCTTAACATTAATAATTAGAAAAATAACATAAAAGTCAGTTAATAATGAAGCACAACAAACAAAAATTAAAGTTCGTCATGTAATTTAGGACTATAACCATGTTTATATTTTTTTACATGTGTAGCGGCTTCATCCACTAGACTTAGGAATTCATCTTTATCAAATGAATAATTAGTAAACTTGGCATGTGCACCCTGGTCTGGATGTTGGCCCTGCAACACAAAAATATTCAATTCAAATTTCATATTAATTATTATTATCTAGATTTATATGTATTTTCATATTTTCTTTTTTTTTTTTAAGAGGTAAAGAATGACAACGATTCGTTTAGTAGATGTATGAAAATATTTTATTGAAGAGTATTTTTCTTTTCGTGCATCAATTTTTATATACTTATACAAAATAAAATATTTTATAACAAATGATAACAAAAATGGTGGAAAGTAGGTAACCATTTTGCTGTCATTGAATAACATAGTGAAAGAATAAGAAAATAAACAAAGCAGCTTGTTTTTCATCGCATTGGATGGAAACATGCTGGTTGAAATAGAAATTGTTTGCAATTGTCGTATTTATGTAGGACACAGCATTAGTCACTAAAATGTATGTATTAAGTTTCATATATTATGATAAATCTATGCAGTGATATTTTGTATGAAAGTAAAAATAATACAACATGGATATGATTGATAAGAAGACATAAAATGTATACTAGCTACACAAATTAAAGCTGCAAAAAAGCAATTCATCCACACCCAAAATGGACTACATGGATAAGCCTTGCGCTTGACATTCCCTAAGTTTTAAATGTTCTATTAATCAAGAAAATCATAACTCCAATCACTAATTGAAAATTAAAATTGGAATTCTGATTTTTTTATAAACACCGGCCACTAGGCTGTATAAAATCGTGCAAAAGCAATAAATAAAATGATGGGTAAGTGGGTACTGCTTCACTGTACAGAGGGGTAACTGTAATGACTAATGAGTGTTTTGAATTTTAATTCAAGAACATATCATTGTATACAAAAAAAGATTCTGAGCAAAGACAGTCTGTCAGCCTAAGTTACTATAAGTATATTTTATTATATTTTAGATATTAAATTTATTTTACTATTAGCAAAACAGTAGTTTGAATTCATTTTTGCCAAAAACATTTAATTTGATATACTTTAAAAGTTTCAAGTAAGTATCCACAAATAAGTTTTTTAAGTTACAAAAAAATAACTAAAATTGATATTCTCCGTTTAAAAATCTAATTTTGTCAACATTTGAACATAAATATCTATTTAAAAAAACTATGTTTAAATAACCTATATTGGTTACGGTATGAAATACTTATGATGAAAAACCTTGTTTTTAATTTTTAACTACAAAATGATGTATACATTTAAGCGATTTTGATTAATTTTGTCAGCATTTGAACTTTAAATGTTTATAAAAAAAACCCTATGCCTATGTATCTTAAATATTTTTGAACTCCTATTATAACGATTTTGGGAACCATGTATTAAATTGTCAAGATTTTTGAGCAAGCAAAATATTGTTTATTGAAAATGAGTTTTAAAAAAACTAATAAAAATTGAACATTTCTTATTGCTATCAATCGCTCAGAAAGGTTAGGCAAATTTTATCATGTATATAAAATAATAAACAAACGTTTATTGAATATATTAATTATTTACAGTTATTATATAATAACTAGCTGATCCCGTGCACTTCGTTTCCCGTTAAATGTACCAACTCTATATGACTCAAACATTGTTCAATGAGTTATTTAATATTCGGTGTATGATGTTCTAGATTTATCTTAACTTTTCTGTTGCCCGGAATAAAAATTCTGAATTGCAGCAGTACATTATCAGATAGGCAATTTACCTGCGGTAGATCGCGGACCCCGTGCTGTTTGTACGTAAGTGTATGATTTAACTCAAAAAGTACCAAAGTTATACCAAGTTTGACGTTTTTACTTAATTCCACCTACCTATAAATCCTAACCTAACCTAGCCGTACTAAAATCCGATGAATAAAAAAAACCAAATTTAACCCTTTTTAAATTAGCGTATCTTCTTCCCATAGGTCTAATCTACACACGGCCATTCATTTATATATAAGATATATTTAGAAAAAATAATAATACAAATCAACAAACATGCCCGATTAACCAATAGCCACCAATATAATATAATACACAATAGAGTAAATAAAGACAACGGTGTCGAGTTCAAATCCCAGACATCAATAAATAGTTTTTGCAGTTTTTCTAATTATTCGGTTGACTTTTTAAAAATTTTCTTTCATAAAAACCTTCACCTGGCAATTACGAACATCTTAAAAACAATTTGAGCAAAATCGGCCCAGCCGTTCTCAACTGATGCAATTTCGAATTTTTGTCTCCATTTTTATATATATAGATATATTGTATGGTCGTATAGAAAGGAAAGTACTTGTTTAGCTGTTAGTGTAATCAATATACCGTATTCATTAATAGTTTGTTGTTTTGTTATAATATTATAGTTTCCATGCCTCGTAGTCAGTTTGACTGATTAACATTTTTAAAAGAAAGACTGCTTTAACCAATATAAATGTATTGGTTTTTATTGTAATTAAGTTGTCTATTTTATGCTAATGATGAAATAATGAAATTTATCCCTATAGGTTTTAACCAAAAACCAGCACTCAGTTTTTAATATTTGTCAAAGAAACAATATGCAATATTTTGGTAAAAACAATATTTGGACTTATTAGTTATTACACAAAATGTTAAAATTACAACGAACATTTTTGTTTTACAAATGATAATTTTTTTGGAAATATGATATTGCTTACCTTATCTTGCACAGTAAACTTATTTATATCTCGCCATGTTATGTACTTAACACCTCTCAAACGAGCCAAATCTTTGTAACAATGTTCATCCTCACAATTATATCTGTTAATGAAAATTAATAATAATTAACAATTTTTACTAATAAATAACTACTTTAATATGAACTTAATCAACAGACAACAATAAATATAAATATCTATTATTAAAAATCATACTCACAGTTCAAATAACACTGCCCATTCGGGTAAAAATAAAAGATGTGTTAACCCAGCGCCGTGCATTCCAATAAATATATCGGTGTTATATGTTATATGTACTTGTTCTTTAAAAGTTAAGAAGTTGCCACTATAAACAACCTGAAAACCATTTGTATTAGTCCAAAACTGTGTAATGTATTTGTTTAATCAAAAATACCTTTTTTACTTCATACTGAGAATGATTTTTTAAAGCAGTTATTAATTCATTCTCATTCAATACATTTCTATATTTTGTATTTCTAGACAAAAATGTTATCCTTATTTTTTCATTTCCATTTGGTTTTTGATTGATATTCAAACGATGTAACACATGTTGGGAAAACGCTTTGAACAATCCACTGTTTTCACATCCATCAATCTGAAGCAAAAAAAAAATACGACCTTACACCTAATATATTGTATACAATTATAAAATATGTCCGTCATTCTTTGATTAATTCACTAACTTATATATCAATATATCATAATATTTCTACTATAGATTATTAACTTTTAAAAAATAAAATAATTTATAGTTACCAAAGGAGTATTGTAATACAGCCCAAAAATCATTCTTGGTAGTAATGGTAGGATAATATCATTAAAACAAACAACTTTTCCTCTGAAAGTATTTAAATTCCATACTGGATGCTTTGTAAACGCTTGAAAGGTATCACTAAATGCAGATTCATAGGCAAATGACTCCCAGACTAATATGTGTATGTCTTTTGAAAACATACTAGCTCCTGAGCCATTCACATGCTGAGACGCATATAAATTCAAAAAATCACAAAAATGATGGTACATATTCACAGCTAATAAAATAAAGGTTAAAAACCACTATTAAACACATACTATACTAATAAAGCAAAACTATCAATACCTAACAAATATTACAATTGAAAATATTTACTTGCGTCTATTTTCATGATGACTGTAGGTTCAGTTATAATTAAATCACATTTTCCGGGATAATCATCAATTGGTGTGAAAAATCTTAATTCGGGACTCCAAGACTGTAATGGACTCAGATGATCACACTGAGCATCCAATTTTTCTTTATGAAACCTATATGTGAGTTACCTATGATGTTAATTATTATTTACTCGTATACTTGTGTTAAAAGAAAAATATTACCAAATGTGTAAATGATTCTGTGATTTGATTTAGGCATACAAAAACAAACCATAGATTTATTTTTTAATAAAATTAATAAAAAAAAATTTTAAGTAATGCAACTATTTTTTTTTTCTTCTAACTAATTTTTTAATTACAATTACGCTTACTTGCATTTCCCACCAATTTGACCACTACTTAGTACATCCATTTGATATCGTATCGGGTGGTTTTTGTTCAATATATTTTCAAAATTTATCATAATATTATGTCCACGACAAAACTTCAAATGGTTTGTGCATTCCAATGATGAATCGTCCTAAAAGTGTAAAGTCAAAATAATAAAACTTATACCAACATATCGATGTTATTAACCACAGTTTATTATAATTTTAAAAATACCAATCTTGTGTTTCCATATTTAAAACCTGACTAATATTTTAATAATTAAAACTAGACGTAAAACTACAATGGATAAAAGTAACAGTAGCAGTAATTGGAGTTGGTTATAAATTTTAAAAATAATGTATAAAAATGTAAGTCGTTAACTTCAGTGTAATGAAAAATTACTTTATTTATTGGCTCACACATGTGTGTGATTTCTTCTCGTTGTTGTTTTACATAGCCAAAATCTCCTTGATCATAGAACGTGTCAATTTGATCCCGTTTGGTCGGTGCCCAGCTAGTTTCAGGACCTGGACACACGGGATCCAAATAGCGGTGCTCTATATCACAGTCACTTTCGTAGCCCCAACAGCGCTACAAATTGAGAATGTATGAGTAACCCCATGCAGTCAAGAGTTTGATTATTTTTAAATTTTAACTACCGTCACGTACCGATTTGTTGTGATTGGTTCTCGAGTTCAGTATGTACGGTAAGTGATCTGGATGGACGTTCAAATCCATTGGTACCGCACTCGCCCGAAATACATGGTTCGACAGGACGAAACACGGTATGGCTATGATCTTGAGGTACAACATGACGACTGCGCATTAAACAGGATCGACGATACCTAAACTATACATTAGGTGGTGTCATCATCGTCGTGGCAGAGTCGTGTGTAATAAAAAATATTAGTCACGACGGGGTAGGCGGTAGTCCATTGCCAAGTCGTTGGCGGGCAACGCGATTCGGAAATCGGTTATAGCAAAATACTAAATAATCACGGCCGACGTTAAGCGCAATGTTTACTAGTTCAAACGTACAAACCGTTTGGTCAGAGGAGGGGTTCTCAAAATGATACCGTTATCGTTATGGTAGAGTAGAACGTCCTGTGGTGGAAGAGCGGAATATTGCCGGACGTACTATAGTACTATCATGGTACTATACAGTCAACAGGTATCGAACGGCTACCAATACGGTGTTGTGTATTTTATTATTAAAAAATATGTAATACTACATTTATTATAAACTAATCGCGATTGATATACACTTTGGGGCATTATCATTTCAAAACAAAAATAATACAATTTAATGCACATCCGACTAAATTTATGTGGCAAGCGAATTTAACTTTAAGCATTAAAATTATGTACCTACAATTCGAAAAACATAGGAACATAATAAATAAATAAATGGGTAAATCGTAAAATGTTTATTAATTTTATGTAAACATTTATGCAATAACTATATTGTATTGGTTCATCCTCGTAGATGAGTCGGTAGCGAAGGGGACAACATAATAATGTACCTACTTTATACCTACCTAAAAAAAAAAAAAATTAAGCCATTGTGCAAACAAATATTTATAGATATTTTGCTTATGAATTAGCTTATTACCTATAGGTATAGTAGGTAGTGGCACAATAATGGATTGTATAGCCACTATTTGTACGTGTTGTATGAAAATGCAAGTACACCGTAAAATATAAGTAGATACCTATAGGCTATAATATAGGTAGGTAGGTACCTTGGTTTATATTAGCCAAAAATCCAACATTCCAACATCCAAGTACAAAATATGTAGTAGGTACACAGTCTGACATGAATACTACATAATATTACATTCCAAACAAATTCCATAGTAACTTTTTTTTAATTTCCATTATTAACAATTTTCATTCACAATGACCCACTTACGTCTTACTGCATAGGTAATATTATTATTTATTACTATTGTTAATTAAATATTAATATAGAGTATAGGGTTCGGATTTCAAAACATTTGCATATTTTTTTGGAATGCCTGACACTTGTTGGTTCAATTTAAATTATACGACTACAACACGACGAGTACCTAAAACCTTTTTTTGTGTCCACTCATTTAGTATTTTTATATAACATGTATTTAATACAATAATTGTACCTATTGTAAATTATTGTGTTATCGAAAATGAATAGAAAAATGTGTTAAAACCATATTTCGGAGGGGGTACCAATAATTGTGTTGTGTGCATAGAGCCGAGACTTGTTTTACACCTTCAAAATACACGTTCGACATCCTCATACAGTCGTATGGTCTCCGTATTACTAACGCATCATAACATTTCATAATGTACTTTCAGAAACTCCAATTTTGAGTGGTTAGCTCAAATATTAGTAATTTCACCTGTTATCCGACTTAAAGCTAAGAATATTGTCCGTGTTTCCCATTGGTCTTTTTGCAATATTTTAATTTTTAAGTAAGTAATGACTTATGAGTTATGACTAATTAAAATATTACAATTTGAAAAAATCTTAAAATTAAAATATGGTAAAAACCCCACATGAAAACATAAATAATGGTCTTACCTTAAAGTTTGATAATTATAGGTCAATTAACAATTTATTCTATATCGTTAAAGGTTACTACATAAAATTGGAACTGCGCTGAAAACAAAATATTGTGTATGCCATTACTTTGTTAGGCGGATACAAGTATATAACATAATATTATGCGTGTGTGGCGTCTTCTTTAACTAAATAATAACACAAAATTGGAACTGTTGGAGGTACATTTTGGTATATTATGCGTTAAAATAAGATGGAGACAAAGCTGCCCTAGCATGCGGGTACGACGTCCTCTTAAGTGTGTTTTTGGGGGTTTTAATTCACTAAGCATTTAAGCCATTATCTAAGCCCTAAGGTATTCACATTACAACGGAAAGGAGACCAACCGCTTAAAGTGAGAAGTTCGAAAACCGAACTCTAGTTATTACATAGGTATATGGGTTAGGTTAAGTACCTATATAATGTTAACGTTATATTTATTTAAAATATAAATGTATATGACATCCTTTTATAAAAAGCTCGGAAATCGGAAAAATAGCCTATTTGTTTGTACTAGGCACTTTGGTAAGTACCTACTAGGCCCCTATTTTCTGCACACAATGTAAAATATATTAAAGGTACCCACCTATTTATTTCCACGGATATTTTGAAGGTGTTAATTTGTCATATTTTGGTTATAATAATAATAATAACAATTGTCCATGAAAATTTAACACTAGCAGCACGCCGCACCATCCCTCTACAGAGTACTAACTAATAACTATATTTTTACATATAACATTGTTATATTATAAAAGTAACAGCATACTCAGTATAGGCGTGGCCAGACTTTTACAGCAGGTGTTCCTTAGGCCGGAAATGTTCCAAAATAATAATTATTGAATTAAATTTAGAATAGAGCAGTGTTAGGAACATCTGGAACAACACTATATAGTCTATAGACACGCAGAGCCTGACGAGTAAGATATGCAGGTGTTGCTACAGAATACACAGCAAAACAATTAACCATTAAACATGCATATGAGTAGCAGTAGATACCTATATGGCTACATATAAACATATTGTATTAAGCGGATGATGGTTCACCAAGCATTCTCACTTTTTCACTAATATACCTAGGTACCTAATAATTAATATGAATTTGTTAAAATTCTGATTTTTGGAACTTTTTAAATAGGTATACTTAAAGATTATAATATTTTCAAAGATTTAGATTTTCTGTACCATTTGTCCCGTAGCAATACCTGTAACTTCTGTTTTTAAAATTAGAATCACCTTTTCCCCTTGTAAATTGTTGAAAACCTTGAAAAATATGTTTAATTTACCTACCTATCTAAATGGAAATTCAAACGAGTAGTTTTTGAGTTATTTAACTTTATGAGGTACTATTATAATTTTTTTTTTTTTTATTATTATTACTGTTAAGGATAATAGGCTCATGATAATAGGTTTGGAAGAAATTATGGGGCCATGATTATTTGAAAACTTGAGTACCTACCTAATTAATATAGATCTATCAACATTTTATAATTTGCAAAATGTACCGTTTATATCCAATATAATATATTAATATTATATCTAGGTACTTTATGTTTTTGTGAAACCATATTTAAAGACTACCTATATTTAGGTAGGCTACAACCCACCTAACAAAACTATTTATTTAAAATAACCCATAGATGGGGGTCTAAATTTTGGCCAGGGGCCTGAGCCCCCCTAAGTAGTACCAATGCCTATATACTATCATCAAAATATATAAATATAAAATATACGGTAACTCAGAAACAACTAGTTCAAATTTCACCTACATCAACATTTTTAAAAGAAACCACCCGCTTAATAATTTTTTTGTTGAAAAGGTTGGTGCTCATTTGAAAAGAAAAAGTTTATATTTCCACAGGACACTCCTTAAATAGTATAAAAATCTAAATAATATTAAACATGGTTCTATAGCTAGTGAATCACCTTGTAAAGTACACACCCATCTATTATTTTAAATAAACAAAATTAGTCGGAAAAATTAATACACACAGTTTGTTTGTTTTTCTTTTTTAATATATTAGGTTGCGTATTTTACCTACGCAAATCTAACAATAAATTAACAAGTATATATTAATACTAGTCTAAGTTGATCAGAAAATTATTCCGGTGACTAAACCGGTGCAAGTGTATAGAAGGACAAGGTTTCAAATGATATCTATATTATATGACTATACAAGACTAGGTACAAGAATATATATTTGAAAGATAATTACTAATTTTATCAAAATCATTAACGTTTTTTAAAATATTATTTTCAGATAATTTGATGTCATTACAAAATAAAATGTTTGAATAAAAAAATATGATTATTGTAGTATAATTTTTTTTCCAAAATAACTACTTTTCTAGAATATGAGTGTTTAACTTTAAAATAATCACCCTGTATAGGTTAGACCTACCATAGTAGTGTTGTACTTTCTAAAATATTTTTATTACCTATATTGGTGACTGGTGTGAAATACGTAATAACAATAAACCGGAAATGAATTATTGTATTAAATATAACATCCATTGATAGTACCTACATTAGTACCTATTATAGGTAATCGTATAAAGTAAAAATAAGTAGGTAATAACTATAATAAATAATAACTAATAAGTAATAAGTAATAACCAACTCATTAGAATAACCCAGTACCCACAGCATACTTATATATAATATTTACTACTACATTAACCATTTAAATATAGAAGTACAACTATACGGACAATGATAAAAACTGCTAATTTTACATTTTTACCGCTTGGCGCTTACCTACATCTTATACAAGTATCTTATGATAATAGGTACCTACCTACCTATATTGTCCCATTACAATAATTTATATATTAATTAAAGTGTGTATTTGTGTACCTACGTTTAACTATCATTATACAATGACAACACGACACACCGATTTCAATATTTCGCCAATACCTAATCGTTTTATTGCATTTATATTATACATAGGTACCTATAATATAGCTTGTAACGAGCGAACTAACATACGAACGGATATTATACCTACACGACGCCATAATACGCCTTATTTATTTATTTCTCCAAATTATATGGTATAGACTATAATAGAAGTATAATATAATAGAAGATACCCACTTTACATAATAAAATACTACTCTATAATAGTTATTATTCAAACGTCAAATCGTGAGTTTATTGCATTACGCTCTCCTTTGTCTATAGATAGTCTCTATAACTTTGCATAGGTAGGTGTAATGGATTTTGCAT